AAGATACTTGATATATATATAATATTAGAAGACTAGATCGACTCGGCTGTTAATGCTGACATGCTCTTTCTACCTGTTACATACATTTGCACAAATACATGATATCCTCTTTACCCATTTTGAATGGGTTCAGGGTATAAGATGCAATATTGGTGCTATTAGTTTCACTGAGTTCACCATAATGAACCTGTAAAATTTGTTTTTGCTGAATTTGCGACCCTATGCTATTTCGGCAGCTAGCACGTAGATATCGCTTACACTTGAATTGCATACACAACGATTTATATTGGAGTTTCCCTGCTCAGCTTGTACCTTGTACTGGTAAATTTAATCAATTGTTTGGTTTCCTCACTCGCTCTGTACTTCAAAATGGGTCAAGGTACCTGTGGTATATTCTGTACTCCTCTGGGTTTTTTGTATATGTTCTTATTACGAAAATAAACTATTCTTAACAAACACCTTTCATATAAACGTTTTCTTTGAATCGCATTTCTACCAAAGTGGTGTAGATTTTGTTAAAAATGTGAGACACAAATGAAATGATTTTTCATATAGATCCTTGAAAATGAATTGGTGCACGAAACGTCATCCACCAAATCTTTGACCCCCATTGCCATCAAGGAGGAATACATTTTTGGAAAAGTGTGAAATACCCCTCAAATGAATTTGAACAAAGAACTTTGAAATTGAGTTTGAGGCCGATCGGATGTTAAACAAAAAAATTGTATACAAACATTTTTCACGATTTTTCCATACTTGCGGTGGAATTTTCCGAAACCCCGTGCACCCGAAATTTCTACCTTAATCACATAAGGTAACTACAGTAAACATTTTAGCTTCCTACCTCTTATGGGTTGGGCTGTGCGTTGATCACCAATCAGTCAGTCAGGACAAACAGTTTTATATATAGAGATTAATAATATTTCTGTTTTGGCCGCCACCAGGTTTTTAATTTTTTTTTTGTAATTTTAATTTTAATTTTAATTTTGCTCCAATATATTTCAACTCTTCACGAAAATTGTAATCTAATCAGATATGATTGTTTCTGTTGTTAATGTTATAGCCCTATACTTGAATACTGCTCTTGTATCTGGTCTCCACAGTATAACAACAGCAAGGATCGTATTAAATCTGTTCAGAAGCAATTTCTGCTTTTTGCCTTACGAGGTTTAAATTGGGACCCTAATCCTTGGTTGCCGTCCTACTCCAGCAGACTGCTTTTTCTCAACATTCCGTCGTTAACCAACCGTAGGACAATTCTCGGTGTTGTCATTCTACATAAGTTGATTATTGGCGACATAGATTATCCTTTTCTGCTAGGGCGTCTTCAATTCTCTGTTCCGGCTAGACCAACCAGAAATTATCGCCCCTTATTACTATCTACGTGCACAACAGACTACGCTATGCACAATCCTTTTCGCGTGCTATGTAAAAATTATAATAGTTTGCATCACGTATTCTCTACCGAACTGTCTCTACCCTTAATAAAATCGTTGCTTTCAGGATACCTTCGGGAAGTCGCTGACCATTCCCAGCTATGAGCAGGGGCATAGTTTGCCGGACAGGCTGAAAAATTTTTCCCCCTATCTACTTAACACTCTTTATCTAACTTACATTGCTTTACTTTATTAATAATCTTCTTACTTTCTTTTTTCCTATTTATTGTATTTTCTTTATTAATATAGCAAATTAAGATTATTTTTAATTTTACATGAGATCACTTTTTTACTACTTACAACCTTCTGCTTAGATGAAGGCTCTAATAACGTCACTGACAAAATTAGCTGTGAAAAGGGACACAGCTGGCCGGACTGGCAAATAAAACACCTCCATCGGTCGGTGATGCTCTTAAGAAAATTGTATCCTTTAACTAGGCTTTTAGCATATAATTCTATTGTACAATCTATTGAATAATGAGGAAGACACTCGTTTTGTCGACCCTTAATAAATAAATAAAGCATTGAAAGATGAATTCTTAATTTAGGAAATAGTTAATGTGTTAAAGAAAATAGTGAAGAAATAAAAGCACAAAAGAAGGGATTTCAATGCAGAATTAAATTTTTTCTTATGAAAAATTCTATAATCGGTGTGGACCAGTGTGCTTAAAACGCAATGTCGAACTTTGCAAGCACAATACCTATTATAAATCGATTGAAAACAGCTATAAGTCGTCTTCAGTAGATAAGAGTGTCCAATCGACCTAAAGATCATTCCCGTGAAACCATATATACAATAGACTCTCTGTCGAAAAGGCTAAAGCCGCAAGGAAGCAGGTAACACAATGGCTGGAGAAACACGTTATATTTGAGTGTGTGTGTTGACTATCGAAAGCTTAACAGCATGGCCCCTCAGAATTGTTTGCCTGTATACCCGATTGAAGATATCCCAAAAGAAATACAATCTGACAATGTTTGTATTTATAAAATGAGGTTTTCAAGGCCCTGTATCAATTGTACGTACAATTAAGAAAATCGAGAATGTGAATATGAATATATAACAAGGCATTTCATTATTTAAAAATATGATATACCATATTTATCGGAGATTTTGTGGTCCCGATGTTGAAGTAAAGATAACAAGGGTCTTTACTAATTGACGTTTTTGTCCACAGTTAGAGGCTTGGCAAGTCTGAAGGTTTATTACACTGCATATCAATCATTTGAGGCCCATGGATACAAAATTACATTAAATTAGTATAAGTACATACTTGTCCGTTGTGGATGCCTTCTCCAAATTTGTGTGGCTCTTTTCAACCAAGTCGACCGGTTCGGAAGAAGTTATTTTTAGGCTGAGAAGCGGTCATCTTTTAATTTCCAAAACGTATCACAGCTGTTGCTTTTGTAGAAAAGGTTTGTACGAATTCTGACCGCATATATGGTAGAATGTATGTGGAATACCACAGGGGTAGCCAGAGGGTATGTTGCGGTTGAATAAGTGGAATACTCAATCCTATCCATATCTGCAGAAGAGCCGTCAAAATATATGCGCGATATATGCACGCGTAAACACTTCTACCAACTCATCACCTTTCGAAATCATGTATGGAATAACGATGATGGGAAAAGCTAGGGAGTGCGAATCGGACCTGCTGAGCCTAGAGCTGATAGAACAATTAAATAATTAGCGGGAGCTGTAGAGTGTAGAGGCCAAGCACAAAATATAGCAGCCTACTTCAACTACGATAAGAAGCGAGATATAGGCTATGACTATAAATTGACGAATTGGTAGCCTTAAAGCGATTCCAATTGGTATCAGGCCGCATTCCTAGGCCCATATCAGCGGAAATAATATCAAAATGAGGAACTTTTGTCAACCGGGAAGAATTAAAATATAAGGTGACAACATCAGCAGGGCTTTGAGAGTCGTTGGTTGGGTTACTGTGGTTCCATTGCTAGTTGCAGCGTCTGTGGCCTGGGAGTTGTCAAAAGCCTTATAATGCAGATGTCGTCGTTAATTTTGGCAATTCGCAAAAGTCATTGTTTTTTTTTTTATAATTCTGATGTACTTGTATTACTCTCCATCAGTCATATTATAAATTTAAGGTGAAACATAGTCCTACATATTTTCTTTATGGGATCGGACCTTCTTCCTTCAGTTTATTAGATGCATTTGCATAAAATCATTATACTCTTTTTATCAATTTTGAATGGTTTCAGGATATAAAATTAAAAAAATTTGTACCCTTGCGCAGAAGCACATGATTGCAGAAGGTTGCTTGGGAAAAAAACCTGACACGAAATATTAGTTTGAAAGTTTCTGTACATATTGTCCATTGAATATGTTGCCAACGATAAATTTGTGTTATGAATGCGAAGGAGCTTTAATTAAATTTTCTTTTTGATCTGACAGTGCAGGGGATTGAGTCCAATAATTGTTTCAATAACCAAAGTTGAATACGTGTGCATGTCTGTCTTTATTGAGCCGCTATAGTTGACTGCATCAGGCAATAGCTTGTTGCACGTTTTTTCGCCAGAATAAAGCAGTCTAAGAAAGAATGGGCCTGACGATATACGATCATGTTATGGTTGTAAAGTCAAAGTCCGACGATTTATCACAAGCGTAGAAAAAATGCGGAGTTTTTCTCAATGTCTTGACTAGAGTGCATACAGCTGAAAAAGAGTTTCCCTGGATCTGTTTTGGCTCACTCACTCCTAGCTGCAGCGTAAACTGGGTTTCTTATGAATGGATGTGTAGAAGAAAGCGAGGATATTTCTTAATGTATTATTGTTTTTCGGTGTTAAAAATAAAAAACATATATATATATGAATTAAAAATTACTACTAGATTTGAACAGGCTACGTTCCGTCGTTTTGAAAACTTGTTATACTATTGTTTCGCTATTTAGCTTTTTTAATAGCTTACACAAATAGAAATAATTAAAATTATTTTCCTTCTTGTGTTATTTCTATATTTGTTAAAAGTTACGAAAAACAGACAGACCAGAATTGGTGTCTGCTTTTTACTTAAGAAAAATAGTTTTACATTGGCAAGCGAACCCGAATTGGTACGTGCCAATTTAAGAGAGGCGACAATTGATAAGTTATAATTTATAGTAATGCAAGTCGCCATGTGTACCAAATGCACGCAGCGAACGAACTTAAGCAACTCGATGCGCAGCATCGAGGTCTACGCATAAGTAATGCTAGGGCAATAAAACGATCGTTACAGCGAAGAGCGTCAGCTTAATGCAAATGTAATCTTAAGAGCTAAATTTAGGCGATTGCTTAGCAGAGCAAATGTTTAAGATAAGATTAAGATGCTGCTCTTATCAGTTGCGAGGTCGCTCCAGCTGTTTTGGCTGTGTAGCCAGACAACCGTTTCCCCTAACATGCAATTCAAATTATCCAAAACTTCGTTTTCGTGATTAGTTTCGATCAAAAACCCGCTGTACAAATTTAAGGTTCTCAGCCTATATAACCCTGTAGGTCGGTTATTCAGTCACCAGTTAGTAAACAATCAAGGCAAACTTCTTCAATATGTAGATTAGGTAAACTACTTACAAGCTTGGACGATTCCGATAGTGCCAAAAAATCTCTTAGCGCATAATGAGAATTATGTGCCATGTTACGGAACTTCCAAAACGATTCAAGTTTACTTCGACACTCATGACAGATAACAGAGGGGAACCCATCATTCGGTAATGGCTGAAAAAAACAAATGCAAAAATGATATTAAAATAAAATGAAAATTTATACTAAGTTAAAAGAATTCATTTTACAACCTATAAGATAACAATTTTTAAGGCGTTGTGTATTATACAATATGAAGCAAATTTAATTTATGTACGACTGTTTTATTATTTAAAGATATTTCAGCAACTGCGATTAGCAATTCCTTGACGGCTCTCGAAGCCAAAAAAAGCGTAATCAGCATTTACCTTCAGGTCCCTTCGAAACAACGTCCACATAGTTTCTATTTGTTTTCAGAATGTTAGACATCTTATTTCTAAACTTAAGAATCTTTTTATAGCTAGCTTTTCCCTTGATTAGATTGTCTCAGTTACATTTACTTTCTCTTAACGCACTATTTATAAACAAAAATTCCAGTTAATATAAAGCATATAACTTGTATTTAAGAAGTTTCTACTAATGTGCGTGATAATGACCTAGTTATGGAGTGGGTTGATTTCAATTTACCGAACATCTCATTGTGATTACTCACCGCCAACAACTACGTTGTACCACTAACCATACAATGCATAGATATACCAAACTGCATTTTAATTGTATCAAGTAAGTAAGTAATTGTATCATCGCAACCAGTAAGTCCCATGGGCGGCTGAGAGTGGCAGCCGACCGCCGGCCTCGAAAGCTGAACGTTCAGTGTGAAGCCGCATCTCGCTCAGCGCATATATGTATGCCATTTTTAAATCCTTACAGCCCAAATACATACATTTGTGTTTATGCATATGTAGAATGTGCCTCGCTCTAAATTATTGCTCATTGCGCACTAGTGTGCTTCTCATTCTCCCTGCATAGCTTCCCACAAAACCCAGAGATCTACACACACACATATGTTTGTGTTGTGTGGATGTGCGCACAAGTAGATCACGGCGTTTGTCGCGATCCAGAGGTTTATTCTTCAATTGTGTGCCTTTTGTGCCTGTGGTAGCAATACGCACTCACATTTAAATGCTCTATCATGTATTCCTACGTCCAGTCAGGCATAATTAGAAGAATTTTATCTAATTTTATTTAATACACAATTAATTAAAAATATTTATATTTATTTTCTGTTTAGTGTAGGGACATTTTCGGTTAACATATACAAATAACTAAGTCGTATTTCTGCGAGTCCTAAGAGAGGACAAACATTGAAAGTGTTCAAATTTCGCGACAAGCTGCTTGTGCACACGCACACTCTTTCGAGTAATCAATTGCCTGATATTATTAACGGGATTTGCCTGTTTATGTGCAGAATTGATATTTCCCATGCTTGCTATAAAAGTAAGGGTCCCTGAACTTTGGCATGTGTGCATGATAACTTTTTTAGCCGGCCTACCACGCACACTTACACTTTTATATTTGATGGAAGCATTAATGCGTTTGTGAGCATGTTGGTTGCCTGCCTGCCTGCCCGATGCAAATTTGACGATTTAAGGTCTTCGGTATTTCTGAATTTCGAGCTCTACACACACACACACACACATACATGTGTGCCAATGAGCTGATTAAAGGTTTGTCGTGAGATATTTTCATCAATGCGTGCGTAAATTTGTGCGACTGGTACAGTCTTTGTTTTTTTTTTTTTTTTTTGGCATGCCTGCTGTTTACACATGTGTACAAACAGCAAGTCGCAAAAATTAAACACTCAATTTTTGTCTTTTTTTCAGATCTCTTTGACAAGTCGACGGTGAATTACCTTTGCAGGAATACGACTTAGATAATTTTGTATTTTAAGCAAAATAGGTCCCTACAGTAAACACCAAATAAATATATATATTTCATTTAGGTCAATTAATTGTGTATTTAATATAATTAGATCAAATTCTTCTCATAAAATAAATAAATAAATAAAATAAATAACCTCTGGCTCGCGACAAACGCGGTGATTTACTTGAGCGCACATCCACACAACACAAACATATGCATGTGTGTAGATCTCTGGGTTTTGTGGGAAGCTATGCAGGGAGAAAGAGATACACACAAGTGCGCAATGAGCAATAATTGAAAGCGAGCCACACTCTGCATATGCATAAACACATATGTATGTATTTGGGCTGTAGGATTTAAATACACATAAATGCGCTGAGCGAGATGCGGATTCACACTCAACGTTCGGCTTTCGAGGCCGGCTTTCGACTGCCACTCTCAGCAGTCCTACTCAATCTGGGCACACTAAAATGGTCTCAGACGCCCTTCGGTCTCACTGGTTGCGATTAATCTTGATACGATTAAAATGCAGTTTGGTCTATCTATGTGTGGTTAGTGGTTGTGCCTTTAGCACAGCAAGACTATTTTATTATTTCAAATCAATTCAACTTCTAATCAATTGAATAGCATACTTTATCTTGTATTTATGAATGATTACCTTATACTTCCTAAGGGTGCATAACATCCTGCTTTGGAGGTAGCAATGCGCAACTGTCATCCTTAATAATTCGCAAGAAAACTGTTCCTTGCTCAATCAACGTATTTATGCAACTGATGGTCTTACTTATATGACGGAGTTGATATGAATATTCTAAATTGTATTTATAACACCCTGATTTATCATAAGATGGATGTACTCCAAGTTCAATCCCATCGCCTGCTTGATCCAAGCAACCATGTTTTACTCCTAGGCCATCAAACCTATTAAATCTTAATATTTTAAAAGTTGAATAAATCTGACTATTGACTTGGCTTAAAACTCCATATACCATTATCCAACTCGTTAAAAAGGCTAGTTGCTTATGGTCGAGACTTTAAAGTTGAAGCATAATTTATAACTTTGCCAACATCTTTGAAGTTTTTTTTTAAATCAACTTACAACCTGATCTTTTTGCAACTATGGTGTTCGGCCAACCAATTGTATCAAAATTGCTCAAAATGTATGTTAGGACGATCAAGTTAAAGAAGTAAAACATCATGGTACACAAGGCTAAACGCCTTCCTGAAGACGATGTATGTGACATCAGTTTGCATTTTAGAAATAAAATTATTATTAAAAAAGGAAGTAAACTCTAGCAGATTGCTCGTAGTTGACCGATCCTTTACGAACCCATGTTGAACAGGGGAAACAACTAATTTGCAGAAATACTGCAAGTTCGAAGTGATTTTTTTTTCAAATGCTTTGCAATGCTCCTGTAATTTGTTCTATCCAAAGAGATGGAAAAATAGAAGGTTCAAGGGATGGATTAAAGGGCTTTGGCAATGGTGGGAGAAAGGGCAAAGAGAGTAAAAATATTTATTGATGGCTCTGGCGACCTTTCCATATTTCAATATTTATTTGTTGGCTGGCTCGAGGTCCGTGTTTGTTAAAACAAACAATGAAAAACAATTTTATTCAATTCTCTTCCGATATATTTCGGTTGCACATCGGCAAACCGTCTTCAGGGCACTAACACCAAGATACAAAAAACAATTAACAATTATAATACAATAAATTAAACATTATTTCGAACATTTTACATACATTATTTTACACGTCTGCGCTTTTTGACGTGGAGATTGTTACTGAGGTTGTTTGACTGTTTAAGAGGTGTCTGTACAAGTGAGCGCAATTTTCTGTGTCTGTCTTGTAGTTTAGTCGTTTGTAGGTTGGTGTGTTAATTATGTGTAGCATTTCCAATGTGTGTCGCTTGTTATAGTGTTGTTCTTGTTGTAAGATTGTTGTTTCATCAAAATTTGGTGTGTGGTTGCTTCTTATACAATGGGTCATAAGTGCTGTTTTCTGTATATTATTTTGATGTCTTAGTTTGAAGTCCGATTTATGTTGACTAATCCTTGTTTTTAGCTTCGATTTTGTTGTACCTATGTAGACACTATTGCACTTGTTGTTGTTATCCCCGCCACATGGTATTTGGTAAACGACGTTGCTTTTTTCGATCATCGGGATTTTCGACTTTATCTTGTTGAAGAATTTTTGTAATGTATTCGTCGGTTTGTGTGCTACTTTTATATCTTGTTTGTTATAACAGTCTGAGTTTGTGAGGCGTTCTGATAGTCGTGGTACATATATTAGTGATTTGTATATTTTAGCAGGTTCTGTTGGCTTTTTTCTTTCGATTTGTCGTCTTTTTAATAATGTTTTGATTATATTTGGGGGGAAGTCATTTTTGGTCAAAAGTTCTTTGATTTCATGTTCAATTTCTTTGTGGTATATTGTGTCCGATATTTTCATCATTCTATTCATACAGCCTAGTGCTGTATTGATTATCATACTCTTTGGGTGGTTTGAATTGAAGTTGAGTATTCGTCCGGAGGCTATGGGTTTCCTATACCACTTTATTTTGAGTGTGTTGTCCATTCTGCTTACAATAGAGTCTAAAAATGGTAATTTCCCGTCCTTTTCTAATTCCATTGTAAATTTTATCTGTTTGTGGAAGGAATTCAATTCTTTTAGAATATTTTCCACGTCTATTTTGTTCGTTATGGCAAAAAGGTCATCTACATATTTGGTCAAGAGTCTTGGTTTTATTTTTAATTTATCTGTAATCTTGTCCAACAGTTCCTCCATTAATATATCTGCGATTACTGGGGAAGCCGGTGATCCCATTGGCATTCCCTTAAGTTGTGTGTATATTTTGTCTTCGTATTTGAAATATCTGTTTTCCTGTATGCAAAATCTAACTATGTCCATAAATAGTTGTTTCGGTATATTCGTGTGCTCTTCTAATTTGGTCCATTTTTGTCTTATTGTGTCAAGTGCTAATTCTATTGGTATGCTGGGAAATAAGGATACTACGTCAAAAGATACTAATGTTTCCTCTTCTCTAATCTGGGAGTTGTTGACTCTGTCTTTAAAATCTACCGCGTTCTTGATGTTGTACCTAGAGTCCATTGTCAGATTTTTTAATATTTGTATTATATATTTGCACAGCCCGTAAGATGGAGATCCTATGGAGGAACATATTGGTCTCAGTGGAGTTCCTTCCTTGTGTATTTTTGGTAGTCCATATATCCTCGGAGGTACCGCTGTTGTTGTAGTCATCTTATTTCTT